TCCTTGAAAAACAAGCATATTTGGATATAATGTGGAAAGGTCAGTTGTAAAATATATATAATCTGAAGATACTCTTTTGAAGGGTAGGGTTGAGTAAATATTTAATGATATTTCCATGAGACTATACGTAATACAGATTTTGGATGCGTGTATAGACAGTTATGGGACTTTTTCACATTCCACTACAATGTATAAGATGGAGTCGAAGTGCCGAGGCTTGGAAAGTTAGTCCTAAATAATACAAGTAATCTATTTATGAAATAATGCAAATTGGTTAGGCTACAATTTCCTGTTCCGATTTAAATGTAACTTTTTGATAAAATCTGGAACTGAGTCTTCCGTAAAATAGAACTGAGAATTATGGAGAATATTCTTCATTTTCTACTGTTGTACATTTTTCCTAATACATTAAGAATGGATTTATGAATAGTTTTCCTAAAGTCAGTGAAAGATGGAAACGGATGCACAAACTTTTATGCGTTTTCAAAAGACTGGTGTATGACTCATCGGATATAAAGGAGTATACATTATGGAGTACATGTGCAGATGAAGAAAACCAGAAAGGCAGTCAGGAGGAATAAAAACTGGAGAACTATCCAGTGTTGTTAATAGTGCCATAAACACAACAGTTGCAATTAAGTATTGCTGACTTTTGCTTCTTTAAATAAAAGTAAAGATTCAAATTAAGTAAACATTGTGAGAACGATTGTCCTTTGTTTTCAACAGCAATTTTTAGTTGCAAGATTATTATAATTGTATTTGTAAATAACACGGAATGATAAACCCTTTTAGAAATCAGTCTTAGATCTGCTTTCAATCCATTCCTTGATTTTCTGGCAATTTTATCATTCGAACCTTGGGACTATTCAAATGTGTTAGCTAAGCAGTTGAATTTGGAAATAGCGAACTGAAGAGTCCAACCATGCATAACATGTTCAAATCCGCAACCGCCAGCTGTAAAAATCGAGTAAATGTTCTTTTGCGGTTATTTGTGAAATTTGTTCAGTTCCATCGATTCGTATTCATCAGTAATTCTTTAAGAAACCCAGCAAATATAGAACTTTTTATGGACTGAGGTAATGCATCACAAAATTTTCGCCAACAAAATAAACGGTACATTTTCTGATTAGGTTGCCTTCCAGCCATCTGAATGTCGAAGCTGTGTTTCAAATGCAGCCATTAGGTTCCTCTGAAAATTATTCTGTGTAAATGAATCACTAAAAAAATGGAAAAAAGAAACTGCTAGGGATTTTAGTAGGATCTATAGGCACTACTGTGCTATTTTTATCAACTGCAAAAAACATACTTATAAGTTTGTTAGTACTTTATCTTCAATCAGTTTACAACAAATGATTATACTGAAATCGAAGGCAACCTTTTTGGTAGCATCTTCACATTTAAACCAAGGCAATGCATATGTCATGAGATCTGGCTACACCAAACAGTTCTTCCACCTGGACAAATTCTCATTCATTTTCTCCAACCGAATCTTCAAGTTCTCTGTTTTAACTTTTATTAATGTTTTGGAATCACATTAAAATGAAAAACACATAAAATTTCGAATACCACACATATCTTAGTTTCACAAATAACGCAGGATCAACCAAAGTTTTTAGTGAGATAAAGAGCGAGGAGCAGTAGACTGAAACAACATTTTACCATCATCTACTTCCAGAACTACTTCAAATGACATCTCTAAATTAAATCAACACCTTATCAGCTAATACATGCATAACTCTTAGCAAAGAGTGTTAGAAGGTTGCTGGATACCTAGTAATATGAATTGTTTTTAAAAATTCATCTACTTATTTGATTTGTATTTGTAGGGCCAGCCTTCTTGTTTGATTCCCAATATCCTCCTAAGGAATCCCAGTTTGCGCAAATATTAAGCGGATTGCCTCTGCTCATCCCATTATATCAAAATAATGCAGCTTGCAAGGTGGTATTTTCTTTGGTCAGTGAAAACTCTAAAATGTTAGACGCAGTGCAGAGTAAATGAATTGATGTTATTCAATTTCCAGTCCATATTTGGGTGTGAAGCAGAGACATATTCATTCAAATATGCCAAATCATCTTGCATTCTTGTTCAAAATTATTCTGAAATACAAGATTCAAACGTTGTCCAAATTGTACTTCTTATCACAACAAAAAAGCATCTTAAGTACTAATTTGTTAAATAGTGGAAAACTGTTATAGGAATTCAAACACCAGTTAATATTTAAAGTTAGCATTATCGGTTTGGGAATCACCAAAAAATAAATTCTAAGGAAATTCAATTTAAGGAACAGTAACTTTGCCAATACTCAAATAGCAAGGATGAAATTTTCTCGTTTAGCTCGAGATTCATAGATCAAAGCAACTGGATTAGGAAAAAGAGTGTTGGAACTGTCTACCGACATGAGAGGAAAGAATTAAAAAATGGCTAGGGAACAGACCTGGGAAAGGGTGATGAATTACATTGTCATCCATAAGGTACGGTATTCTTGTATTTCCACAGTATTGGAAAATGATACTGCATGAGGTTACAACGTAATTTCAAATAAATAATACAAATTTTTAATCCCATTGAACAGTATAGCTGAGAAATGAAATCCAAATCACCCTGTTGTTGGCTTTGAAATGCCCATTTCATATCTTTTTTTATTGTTTCTCAAAATTTATTGCCAGTAACAACCTAAAACCATTCATTAAAAAAGTTAACTATTATAAAATGAAAAAAAAGCGTAACTATTACAAAAATGGCTAGAGAACAAATCCTAGTCTACCCACTGATAATAAAAATAATGAAAAAATTCGTCGATACTTGCTGTTCTTTAATTGTGAGTTAGTTCAACTTTCAAGGACATAATCATTCCAGATTCAATTGAAATGTTTAAATCATCATACTTAAATGATACTAATTTTTTTTTCCATCTACATAATGCAATTCATTTCTATATACAAGCAAAGCGCTGGAATATGCCATCAACCATAATGTTTAAATCTTCAATACACTCATAGCCATACTGATATAAAAATGCTGTATGATATCGTAGATTAGTAGAAATATCGAATTTTTAATACGATCATCACTACTATTGGATAGATTACACAACATACTAAATTCACTTTTAAAGTTATATCTGATCTAGGAGTTAAAATTTCTGTTGGAAAATACTATCTTTCCAAGACTTTTCATTCGCTCCTTGTCACAGGAACCGGCATCAAGCTTGTTTTTAAAGCTTCTGAAAAAAATTCTGTTTCCAAAGGAGATAAAAATCACTGAATTTCAATTTTATAAGAAGGTATAGAATTATTTCTAGTTAACTATTAGTTTATATTAGTGAAATGTGCTCCCCACAATTGCTTTTTAGTAACAACTGCTGCTATATCTCAATAAACTTCAGTAACCCTATAATATGCAAAAAAGACTGTGTTACTGTCTCACTCAAACTTTTGAGGTATTTTTTGCCCTATTTTATCAGCTTTTGCAAATTAATCAGCAAATTAATCCAATCTTTATAAATTATCAACATTTTTTAAGCAAAATTTAATTCTTTTATATACAACACACAGCAAAAGACAAAACAATCAGTATTAATAAGGAATACTTTAAGCAAACTGGAAGAACGTTGGAACATAATATCAATGAATGAAGTCATTTGATTAGTTTCAAGTATTTCTCATTTTTGAAGCCATCTGACCAGTTTCAAATATTTCTGATTTCTATGGCGTAATATGACATAGTATCATATCTCATCATAAATAAAGATTCGTTTTTGAAACCGATAAGGATACCTTATACAAACGCACAACTGCGAACCAATCAGACGTTATAATAAAAAGGACAGTATTGATTTGGTGCTAGCAGCACTATGTGATATTGATTGATAAAAAATTCATTTTATTTCGAAGCTTTAAGAAATGCATACAACACTCCCCAGCACTTTTGCTTCGTAAATACTGGTCATAATTTCGTAAATTGTGTAAACAAAGTCGGTCTTCTGATGACGGATGACCCAAGAACAAGCATACTGCTTGTTACACTCGTGATGAAAATTTCTTTTTCTCAAGCAAATACTGAGTCTGATGAAGAAGCCATTTCAAAACCAAATAGCCAGCACAGTGGAATCTTACGAGCAGATAAGCTGTTTTTCGAAGCACTTTTTCATTTTCATAGTGATATTTACAAACAAAACATCACAACATTCCTGAACAACTATTACAAACTTCAGAGTGGTAAATGTCACTAATGTCCTTTCTTGCCAAACAAAACATGTTCTAGTAATTGTTCGATTTCGTTGTAAGTCAAACGTGAAAAAAAATTTCTTAACATAGCACTGTTTATTCTACTATTCCTATATAATATTCCCTTCAAAGCAATACACCTTCAAATGGACTGAAAATGCTACTTATATATATATAAAAAGGAAAAAAAATCTAGAACGAGACAGTTATACTAACCCGATTTTTCACTCCAAAATCTTATTATATATGAATTCTTTTCGCCACATTTGAGGAACTAATATAAAACAGAGAACGCTCAGCACAATTAACTAGGATAAGCAGCTTTGGTAACGCCACATTTACAAATTTAATAATAAAGTATAATCATACATCCACCAAGTTCTACAGAGAGCAAATAGTCATTAACAATTTATTTCCATTTAAATTTTGGCAAAAATCCAAATAATAAGAACATTTGTAAAGGATAGCATGTCGAGGAAAATATACAATTTTATAGAAGCAAGCCTTGTGGCTGACTTTTTAATTAAACAGAATACATATTAAACTAAAGTAGTTGCAAAAGAGATTATCATAAATCTCATTAATAACTGAATTGCACCAATAACAAAGCCTTTCATTTATTGCATTAAAAGACCCTTTCATTAAAAGAGCAAAAAGGGTTAATAAAGAAGAACAACAGGACCATAACAAAAATGGATTTCGCCATTATTTGAAATAATTCAGCATTACAGCTGTCAAACAGAAAGAAATCAATTAATGCAAAGAGCCTACAGCTATACTAACTTGATGATAATTATTTCATTCCCATCAAAAATTTTGACTGGTGGACCAAAATAATTGACACCTGCTGAAACATAAACATATGTTCCTGTAGCTTTATTATAATAAAGACCGCGAAAATAAGCATTCCAAAAATACACCAGTGGTACGAATACATACATTTGTCCACCATGTGTATGACCTAAAAGTGTAGTAAAACACATCACATTTCAAAACTGATCTGCACAATCATTCCATCACCTACTAAAAAACGCCGTTTATTACTAACCTGACAGAATAAGATCAATGTTCTTAGCAGTTTCAACATCATTCAGTATTATGCGAACAGCATTAGGTTGGTGAATAAGCATAATAGTTGTGTCATTTTTGTTGCATCCTCGTAACGCTTTTTTGTAATCCATTACATGCCCAGAAAATCTGCAAAAAGTGAGCAGACAATCTTTTTAAATACGATAGACCGTAATATTAAATGTAACAAAACATAATTGATCATAAATACTTCACTCTCGCCACTCATATCCTAGTCACAATACACATTATGCATTGTACATACGGAAGATATCAGCCGTTTTATTAACCATAATTAAATTATTGAATATAAATCACCACTAATATTTCTTTATATAAAGTGGTAATGAAAATAAACAATAAAAGAAACATCCGACAACAAGAGATAAACTTAAAATTAAAAAAAAAATATTTGAGAACACCAATAACCTCGACTGTTCTGCAAACAAATCATCGCTTCCAGCAATGCAAATTCTAGAGTTTCCAACCAAAATCTTCTTATTTTTGTTATGAAGAGGTATGATTTTGATTTTCTTTAAAAATACGAACCATTCATCAACATTTCCATGAAGATATTCATGGTTGCCTATAACTGGCACTAACTCCCCTGCCTTCAAATAATAATACAACAGTATAATTAAACAGTCCTTCCTTGCTGGTGCGCTGTTGAAAAAAACTTTTAAAACACATAGTAGAAAACTATTAAGAGTATATATTCTTTACCTGTAGCAAAATATATGCCATATTTTGAAGTTAGATTCATTAGAGGGTAAGCAGCTTTTTCTAAATCTGGGACAAGACCATCGGCAAGGTCGCCAGATATAGCTATCACGTCTAAAAAAAAAATGTTAAGACCACAATAATTTTGCATACCTGAGGTCTCGAAAAAAAGAAAAAAAAAAGATCAACATACCCGGCTTGAAGAGATTTATAGTATTCACCATCTTCTGAATTTTTGAACATCCAACAGTTGGTCCAATATGGAGATCAGATAAAAGAGCAACGGTAAAGCCTTTTTGCACTTCTGGCAAGTTATCGATTTTGATTGTAATACGACGTACCGCGGGTGGTAATAAAGTAACCCAAAGGCCTGCTAGAACGAAAACAACTGCCAATAAAACGGCGAAAATGCGATTTGAAAGTTCATTTGCGACCAGCAACCTGAAATTTACACAGTCCTGACTTACTTGCAGTAAGATAAATTTATTGCAAGAACATACGGATGAAATTTCAGTTTTCAAAGAAAGGGTGAAGAAGAAAATACATACTATACGGTTAATCCAACTATATTATAAATTATTTATTTATTTTTAGTAACTGTCTGACCATAACTGATATTTATAGCTAAACCTATGAACTACGAGGTGCAAAGGTTTAATAACTTAATATGAACGTTAAAGTAGAAAATACCCAACAGAAATGATGACTCGACAAATAAAAAAGAAACCTTAGAAATCGGAAGTGTTTTGAATTCATATGGAATATAAGACGGAATACCGACTGTACCAATACAAAAGTCAGTAAAAAGAATATAAGGTAAATATAGACCGCGACTGACGTTAAAGAAATCATTGCAAATATATTTGGTTCTTCACCAATCCAAAGATAATAAAATGTTGAAGAGATATGCACAAGAAATAAGAAAAGAATTATAGCAGCCTAAAGTTACCTTTTACAAAGTCTAATAATCATCAAAGTGCAGCAAATCTGGTAAACGGAAGGAGTCATTAAGACAAATCAGCCAAGTTTACAATGAAGTCATAATTAAACAGCCCTTGTGTCAAATCACTTCCATTAATCCACTCAGTGATAAGAACGTCTATCCTTGAAACAAAGAACATTCTTGAATAATCTTCTGATACTTGCAACACTTATTAGCAAAATAAAAAAGAATCTCACCTTTACAACCTTTTGAACACAGATTGTCCGCCAACATCTGTATGATGGTTGCAGCGGCAAATCACTTAAAACACTTTAAAAAAAAGAGATCGAAATTGAAATATACAATATAAAATTTATTAGAGACATCAAATCTTTAAATTCCTGAAAATACAAAAGCAAGGCATGAATGAACAAACTCATCAGTAGCTGCAGATAAATTCCACCAAATAAAAATTGATCCGAAAATCATAACAAACTGTTGGAAAACAATAATACTCAGTCGGGTCACGACTGTATAAGGTACATCTGTTAGAAAACATTTCAGTACAAAAAAGATCGCCTGGGATAGCAAAAACACAGCGAGAAGTATTAATAATATCTTCCTCATCTCTGCTATATTTTAATTCGTTACGCACATCTAAAAGCATAATTAAAATTGCTATAAAATAAAGTCGTGAAATTATAAACACATGCAGTGTGTTTTTTTAATGTGCAACTCGTACAGTTCACAAGATTAACTCTTCCTTATTTTATGAACTCCCACTGCAAGTAATTTACTCCACACCGCTTAACAACTTCTAGCACTTAAATCTCAGCAACACATCTGAAATGCACTGGTCACACGCATGTCGCATTCTGCAAATATGCTACAAGTCATGAAATAGAAAACACTAGGCTGTGTGTGGGTGCGGAGTGTTTGTTGGTTTCATAGTTTGAGGGAATATTAAGGGTTTGTGAGTTGGGGGACTTTGATTCGTGAGGTTTTGATGCAGTTATTTAGAAATGGAACGAAGTGTAGATGTGATATGCGACCCGAGGCTTCGAATGCGAATTACCCTGAATATGGCGGCAACTCAAGAAGTGAGCCCATCAGTCCCTATTAATCGGTTTGATTTTTGAGTTTCGTTATTTTGAGAGTTATAAGCCTAGAATTATCTTAGATATTATCGAGGTTTTATTCTCTAACTCGAGACTCGAATTAACAAGGATTTCTCCTGAAATTCTGTCATATTTAATAAGCATTAATTTCTGATTGTAGGATTCTTTAAATTTCTCTGTGATGTTTTGCAGTCTTTGTCTGTATAGAAGAGTATTTCAAATACAATTTAAAAGACGTTGTATATTGTATTGTATTTTCCCATCAATAAACTTAACTCTGCAATTTGTGTTGGATGCATCAACATACTCGATGTCATATTTGTGCAGTTTTTTTTCAGTTATTACCGAAGTCTGAATGAAATGTATCGTGTTGCTGGCTTTTGTATAGAAGATAAAGATTACGAAAGAGCATTTATTTATTATATGCGTTTTGTGAGGTTTGTTCTGTTTCTTTCTCCAAAAGGTTTGTTTCTGGTCAGTTCCTATGAAGAGGAGGTAATAGGTCTGTGCTATCTAGCTTTTTGATTTACTCTGCATGACGTAATTAGGGAAGATTGGCTTTTCCTCGTTTTCTTCTAAATATCCTGGTTCTTACTCAGTTTCTCGTCGTTTCCACACCTTTTTTTTTTGCTTTCCATTTTGAAATAAACATTTTTTAAATTTCATGTTATTCCATGTTACTGCAGCTTAGCGGTCGAAAGGTTACCAAAGCACAAACAGTATAATGGCTTTTCGTCGGCTGAGAAAACCAAAGCTGAAGCAGTGCTTGGGGATGCGTTTATGAAGGCGGAATCGTTAAAGGAACAGCTGAAAAAGATATATGAAGAAGAAGCAGTTCTAGCAAGACAGAGTGCAAAGAAGACTACCGCTGATGTATGTTTTAAATATGCTCAATGGTTGCTCTCATTTCCAGTTGGAATAATTTGTGTTTTTATATGGTTAAATCTGTGGAGAATAAGCTCCATTTTCTTTTGTATGAGGAATTGTATTTTCATATCAGTTACATAATGGATTTAGAATGTAGCTGTGATTGGAAAAAATATGTCGGTTCGTGATGTTGTAGCACATAATCGATTTCTTGAAATAGTTGATCACAAGAAATCAGGTTCTGCAGCAGTCATGTTCGATAGCAGGTTGAGCATTCTTTTTAGTTAATGCAGCTTCCGATTGAAATTTCTATTGAAAATTAGATAACTGCATTTATTTGGTTTTGCGAATAAAAGCATTAATATTTTACTCATTTATGTTTGGTATAGTTCTAAGTGAAGTTAGAATCTAATTCAATCAAAGAGAGTAAATTCAGAAGTTCCATTTCACAGTAATTTTATGACTTTTAGGAGTGTTAGAGGTTTTTTGAATTAAAGTGCTACAAATTATATGTTTGGATTGAAACCATTCGATCGATATTTTTGTTAATTGTTTAAGATCTAATCGAGTTAACTACTGATTCTATGCGGTTCAAAATTTCATATAATTTTGTATCCAATAACTTATTCAGGAATCTTGCCCATAAGGAGGTTGTCGTTGTCGTTGCGGCCGACCTTGTGGAAAATTTTGTTCAGCTAGCTCAAGTTAACACGAACCGTAATGTAGAAACATGTGCAATTTTGTGTGGCTCACTGGTTAGTTCTGAATTAGTTTCGTACCGTGCTGTTGCTTTTTTTTTTTTTTTTATAGTACGCTATCAAATTATAGGATATTTTCTGAATTACTCGTAGTCTACTTCAAGTCTGCTTTGAGAGAATTTCATGAACCTATCATGGTGATTCCTTTGTAAATCTGAAATTGTTTGTGGCACTGTTTTCATTTTGTACACTGTTGTAGATTTGTTACTATCCTTTTGATGACATGATCTTACGACTGGCGAGCTTACTATTTCTTGGCTTAGGCTTGCTAAAAAAAACGGCTTTCTGGTGTGCCTGAATTGTATTTAAAATTATCAAAGACGCATTGCAAATGGCTTATTTCGGTAAGAAGAAACTGTACACTGAAGGTGTAGAAATATTCGGTTCAGTCGCTCTAAAAAATGAATTTTTTTAATCAGTTAATTTCTTGCTCTCGTCTTGGAATCTATTTTTGTTGCATTATTATACAATCTTATTTTGATAGACATTTTCTAAGATCACTGGTGGAGTGTGTCGTATAACACATGCCGTGATACCAAAGCAAACTGGCGCTGCTGATAGCTGTGATACACACAACGAAGAGGAAGTATTTGCATATCAAGATGCCAATAATCTGATCACTCTGGGATGGATACATGTATTTTTTTGAAATTATCAGTAGACTTTTTTCTTGCCATTTTAGCTAACGTGTTGTTAAATGGTTAATTCTTGTTATCTGGACACAATTCTAACCGTTCTTTTCATTTTTCAATTCAGTATATGCATTGACTTATTTTTAGTAAAGTAAGCTTTAAATTATCTCTGCAGAATGCAAAATTTCTATCATTTATTATGGTAAGGAATTTCGTATCAAGTTTGATCGGTTCAAAAACACTGATATCTTAAAATAACATATTGAATCTTCAAAAGCAAATTTTATGATCAAAATTTTCCTTCATTTCGTACACTGTTAGTTCGATTTACATCATCATGCTTTATTGCAGACTCATCCATCGCAGACAGCGTTCCTTTCTAGTGTTGATCTTCATACGCACTGTTCCTATCAGCTGTTGTTGTCAGAAGCCGTTGCGATCGTCGTTGCTCCTAAATTCAATGAGTGAGGTTTATGTCGTCTCTAAAGTTGGGCCGGGTTTGACTGGTTAACTGAAAGGCTAAATAATTTTATTAGGCAACAATCTATAAAACTATTTCAGGGTGGGTATTTTTCGTTTGTCAGAACGTGGCATGAAGGAAATTAGCGAATGCCGTAAAGTAGGTTTTCATCCACATGAAAATTCTTCAGCTCTGTTTTTTTATTGTCATGACATACGTTTTGAAAATTCGCTAACAGCAACTGTTGTTGATTTGCGATGATTTGCTGATTGTTTTGGAGCCATGAGAATGAAGAAAATGCAGTATGATTTATCACTAGTTTACGTTGTGATTCCGCATTATAAGTTTTATTAACATTTTTTCAAGTTTTGAATTTGAAAGTTATCTATTTAAATATCCGTCTCTCCTTCTGTCTCTATTTGTTTGTTTATCTGGCCTAATTTAATCTATCTGTCTATCTATGCATGAGAATGTATTTGTTCTTTGATGTAAACTTTGAGAGCCTTAAGCACGATTTTAACGAAATTTTTTAAAATATTCTTAAAAGTAATTGATAACGACACTACGAATGTCTGATTGTTGTAGCACATATCTAATTTCTGATGAATGGTGAATTAATGGTTAAGATTTTTTAAGCTACCATTAGCTTTTAAATTCTTCTAGTTCTCAATCGTTTTCTAATTTTGAATACATTTTATGGATTTCGCATATAGCTTGTTTTGAACTAATACAACAAATGATTTCTAGTTTGTGCACTATTTTGATCAAGCTTTATTAATCCAGAACTCTGAATCGTGTACTGTTCACATTTAGAATGGTGTTTCCCAATTTTTAAGTTTCGTGTTTCATCTCAGTATTATTAATGTGCTGATTTGGTCCTCTGATTTGTTTTTTTTTACCTATGTATATATGTTTTCTTTGATAAAAACCATCTATTCCAGTCAACCTTGGTATTAAATTGAACTGAAAAATATACCATTTACTTGACATTGAAAGCAC